ATAGACTGAGCGACGTGCATGGCCAAATCTGCAGGGAGTGCAGAATTATTAGGCAAGTTGTATTTTTGAGGAATAATTTTATCATTGAACAACCACCATGTTCTCAATGAACCCAAACAACTCATTAATATCAAAGCTGAATGTTTTTGGAAGTAGTTTTTAGTTTTAGCTATTTTAGGGGGATATCTGTGTGTGCAGGTGACTATTACTGTGCATAATTATTAGGCAACTTAACAAAAAACAAATATATACCCATTTGAATTATTTATTTTTACCAGTGAAACCAATATAACATCTCCACATTCCCAAATCTACATTTCTGACATTCAAAAACAATACAAAAACAAATCAGCAACCAATATAGCCACCCTTCTTTGCAAGGACACTCAAAAGCCTGCCATCTATGGATTCTGTCAGTGTTTTGATCTGTTCACCATCAACATTGCGTGCAGCCGCAACCACAGCCTCCCAGACACTGTTCAGAGAGGTGTACCGTTTTCCCTCCTTGTAAATTTCACATTTGATGATGGACCACAGGTTCTCAATGGGGTTCAGATCAGGTGAACAAGGAGGCCATGTCATTAGTTTTTCTTCTTTTATACCCTTCCTTGCCAGTCATGCTGTGGAGTACTTGGACGCGTGTGATGGAGCATTGTCCTGCATGACAATCATGTTTTTTCTTGAAGGATGCAGACTTCTTCCTGTACCACTGCTAGAAGAAGGTGTCTTCCAGAAACTGGCAGTAGGACTGGGAGTTGAGCTTGACTCCATCCTCAACCCGAAAAGGCCCCACAAGCTCATCTTTGATGATACCAGCCCAAACCAGTACTCCACCTCCACCTTGCTGGCGTCTGAGTCGGACTGGAGCTCTCTGCCCTTTACCAATCCAGCCACGGGCCCATCCATCTGGCCCATCAAGACTCACTCTCATTTCATCAGTCCATAAAACCTTAGAAAAATCAGTCTTGAGATATTTCTTGGCCCGGTCTTGACGTTTCAGCTTGTGTGTCTTGTTCAGTGGTGGTCGTCTTTCAGCCTTTCTTACCTTGGCCATGTCTCTGAGTATTGCACACCTTGTGCTTTTGGGCACTCCAGTGATGTTGCAGCTCTGAAATATGGCCAAACTGGTGGCAAGTGGCATCTTGGCAGCTGCACGCTTGACTTTTCTCAGTTTATGGGCAGTTATTTTGCGCCTCGGTTTGTCCACACGCTTCTTGCGACCCTGTTGACTATTTTGAATGAAACGCTTGATTGTTCGATGATCACGCTTCAGAAGCTTTGCAATTTTAAGACTGCTGCATCCCTCTGCAAGACATCTCACTATTTTTGACTTTTCTGAGCCTGTCAAGTCCTTCTTTTGACCCATTTTGCCAAAGGAAAGGAAGTTACCTAATAATTATGCACACCTGATATAGGGTGTTGATGTCATTAGACCACACCCCTTCTCATTACGGAGATGCACGTCACCTAATATGCTTAACTGGTTGTAGGCTTTCGAGCCTATACAGCTTGGAGTAAGACAACATGCATGAAGAGGATGATGTGGACAAAATACTCATTAGCCTAATAATTCTGCACTCCCTGTACGTCTGACTCGGGTTCCAAGGGAAGTGACAAGCATTGTTGAGACCCTGACATGGGTACAGCAGTAATTTAGGCTATATTCTCGGAGAGTCACAAATCAGCTAGTGGCCAGCCTAGGCACGCTAATGGCTAGCCTCTCCAATGCTAACACCAGCCCGTCCAGGCTAACGCTAGCCTATCCATGCTAATAGACAGCAGAGGGAGTGTGTGAACCAGTCAATGACCAGCCGAGGGCTGCTAGTCCCTAGCGTATCTAGTAATAACGCCGGTAAAGGTGCTATTCCTCAGTTACCAGCGCCAGCTTATCATTAATCAGGTCGGTAGTTTGCTTCAAAATTTATATAGCCTCCTGCTGCTGGGCAGTAGTCTTAATTTTGGCTCCCGTACCGCGCCATACATTCTGTCCTGGGACCGCTTTCCCATATGGGCTGACACATAAGCCCCTCCCCCACCCTTTGCTCTCACATTCAGCGGAATAGAGACCACTCCACGAGCAGTTTCTGTGACGTAGATCTGACTGTCATTTCTAATCTCAGCGTTTCCCCGCTCATTTTCTATTGGCGGCTAATGCAAGAAATGGGTAGAAGACTATTTTCACATTTAGCTTACATGTTAACCTGAGACTGACAGACTGTATTTAAAGAATAACAAGTAAAAAAAACACAGTTTTGCAGTGAACTTGGTCTTTAAATACTTAGAAAATGCCACGTTTATTAAACACGTTGACTGGGACACCTTTTAAATAGTCCCAACAGCTGAACCCTTTCCTAGTAAAATGGAGGTTATAATAATATACCATCTTAATAACTTATATGGGGGGGGGGGGGGGGGGGGGTCGCCGCATCCGGCAAGTTCAACGTCTGTCTGAGTGAAAAGAACCAAAGAAATTTTCCGTGACCTGTGCAGAAACCCCAGTCCTTGACCATGATTTTAAAACGGTTCAACACCTGATCACAAATTCTTTCCCACATTATTCAGCTCCCTGAATGCATGCTATTCCTTTTTGCAACGATGTACGGTGTATGTATTGTGGGATTTTATTGCAGCTGTTCAAGGATGCATCGTTGCAGATGAATGAATCTGAAAGTAGAAGCCTTTTCATTTGGAGATTCATTCATCGACTGATAAATGGGGCTGCTACAGATAATTTAGCTCCGGTGTGCTGAAGTTTGGACAGCATAGCCCGGGAGCAATCCCTCTGAGAATTTCAAGCTGGTGATGTATGATCGGGAAGAAATCCGATTCAAGAAGAAACACCAAATCTGGAGTGATGAAGAGAGAAGCGGAGGAGCTGATAGGCTCAATCTAAAGAGATGTGCTGCGATTAGATTAGGGTGGCTGCGTCGTCGGGGGTAATATTCTGAGACATCTTTCTACAATAAATATATTTTTAATTTGTGCTCTTTTATTAACCAGCAAAATCACTTCAAAATGAATAGCACATTATTAAGTCTTCTAGTGGCTCTTACTGTTCTTTATCATGAGTTTGTATCACAGAGCAATTCATCTCCAGCCATTCTTCACTCTAAATATGTTTTATATGAGCCTTCATTTATCACAGCCTGTCAGCTCTTAACTGTATCATTATTCAGTCTAGAGTTATAAATTGGAATCATTAAACGGTTTTTCATATAATCTGATGCAATAACTGCTCCCCTTTTATTGGCTTGTGAAAAGAAAATAGTAAATACAATTGTCTGTCAAGATCCTCCGAGATAGCCGTCTCTCTCTGGTGGAAATGAAATTAGGCCAGCCGAGGAGACAGGATCAATGTCAGCAGATTTGTTCGACTTTCATCGTGGAGGGGACGGGCGGTGAGCAGATGAAGGATGGAGAGAAAAGGAAGCTGACACCGCCGAACCCGATGAGAAATGCGGGCTATTGCTGTCAATGTTTTTTTCATAGTGTCACATCAATCAGAGGTGCCTTTGAACCTCCAGCTCTGCAGCTCTGCAGGCACATTTGTAATGGAGCAATTTCATTCCCTGAACTAAACGTGCGGTCTCCGCAGAGTTTGTCTGAGCTGTTTTCATGAGAGGAGATGTAGTGATTACAGCGACAATGTGGGGTCAAATGTTTTAGCTTTTGTGTCATATTCTAATCAGAGGAGGACCTTGGCAGCTTGAACCTGCTGCGTGACTTCTATGGGTCCAATTAAAACAACCTGCATTGATTTGGAATTGAATATCGGCACGTGTGTTGCAGAATTTATTTTAAAAATCAGAATGGTGTCTGCTGAAACATTGGATTTCATTGCTCCTGCAGAAAAAAATTAAAAATAAGGCTAAACACACAAAATCTGCAGCTCTTCACATTGAAATAATACCTGCAGCAATTGTTGTTTTCATCATCCCAAATATATATTTCTAAACTTCTACCTGAAATCTAAACATGGATAAAGACTGCCACCTGCTGGCCAACTCAGACGCAACAACAACTTTTCTGTTATTTAAATTTAAAAGGCATTTATTCAAATTTTTCTCAAGACAATTTATAAAATAATTACATACGAGTAATTTTCAGTTCGGCATGTGGGAGAATATTTTTATTTATGTTTGAAAATAAGAAATTACTAAGAAACAGGAGGCTTAGTCTGGTAGATCATCTTGTCACCTGCAGTTCTCTGGTGCCACCTGCTGGATGGAAGCTTAAACGACAAATTAAGATGCAAACTTTGAAAAGTGTTATTTAAAAGTCATTCTGATCATCAGAGACACCGGTTTTATGCGGCTGCATATAATTATAAGAAGTTCAAGTTTTTACTTTTTGATTGGTAGGGCCTATTTAATACTGATGGTTTGGTAGGGCCTAATTATTATCTGTGTTTTACAGAAGCATGAACTGAAAAAATAATTAAAGCTAAAAACAAATTTAAAAATATGGAGATGTCGAAATAAAAAGTGAAATAGTAAGTTATTAATAAAATATTTTTGCTATAAATATACATTTTTATGCAAAAAATAACATTGTTCATAGTTTATTTTTCATGGTTTGGAAGTCGCACAACAGGGAATGATTTATTTTATTACCTTAATATTAAAATTGCTAATTTAATAATTTTAATTGTTGTAAATTATTTATTAATGCATTAAAGACGATTTTTACAGCTTTTAAAAATGGATTCTGTAGTTTAACCCTCTGGAGGCAGTCGTTGCAGATTTGCAACGTTAAACCCTACCTACCTGGTTACTCCACATACGTGTTTCATGAGCATGTTTTAACTCAGAAGTACCCCTGAAGGACTTAGTTGTTCGTCCTTTTATCGAAACTTATTTTGAGCCTGAGAGGGTTAGCATTAAATGACCAGGTGGAACTGTGCTGTTATTTGGTTACACAGCAGGGATTTAATAATATAATAATACTCATGCATGAGTTTTTTTGGATGATTTTAAATATAAATAACACATTAAAATAACTAAAAAGTCAATAAAAGTTTATTTGCAGTACAGCACTTCAAAGACAACATTTACTTTTTCAACACATTTTTAAGAGAAATTACTTTTCCTTGTTAAAATTATAATTTTGTCTAAGTTCAAAACAATGTAAAGCAAAATCAAGCGTTTGTTAAATATTGAAAGCTCCAGAGCCGTAACCATTATCCTTCCCTCCCATATCTCCCATACCTGCACGATAGCCGTGTTGTGGGTGAACTCCCACCAAAAAGACCGGAGTTCACTCTCAGGTGTGTATTTTGTCTGTCGTGGTAACGAAGCGCAGTCACGCTCCTCTGTAGCCAGCTCAGCATGCATGCGAGTCATGTCAGGTTGCAGGAATGTTGTGGTTAATTTACACCTAAGCTGCCAGTCAAACATAAAGTTAAAGTTCACCTTTAAAATCTGACTTTTGAATGCAAAACTCACATTTATCACATGATAAATTGTGGCTCTTTAATTAAAAATAAAGATATGGAAAATAATAGATAAAAGATTGCCTTGTGAGTTTAAATACACCCGTTTTAAGGCAAGTACTTACAAAATCTTTAATTGGAAATATCTGACCTCATTCATATCTTCAAATGTTTTTGGAAAACGGCCTCCTCTGCTGAATAGCCTCCTTGTTCAAGTTCAAAATAAGAACCAAAGAAGTGTTTCAAGTATTGAACGCAACAGGAGAAATTAACAGAAAAAATTTAAAATATGCATTTAAAATATGCAGAGACACAAAATGTTTGTTACATTTTTTCAAGTTATAAAGTTTGTTGGTTGCAGCCTAGCATAAACTTGTAAACACTCCTTTTATTTGTCCTAAGGTCTGCATTCTTTTGAAATCGGTTATTTATGTTTTCTACTGTAGTTTGACGCAACAACAGGTCCATTTCTGACACATTTGTGTCTCGAATAAAAAACAAGTGACTGAGCGTTAGTTTTGTCAATGCTACAGATGATGAGATGAACACGCAGCTGCGTGTCCTCAGTCACCCGTGACACACGTCTTGTTAGGCAGGCTGAATCTGCAGATATGTCATCACTTTGCACCGTCTTGTCGATACGATCGCAGCTGCTTGCTGCTCCTTGAGAACTTGATATGACCTCTGGAGTTGCAAAACAGAAAAACGGCGTCAGGAATGTCTTCACATCTGGGATTTGAGGGCACAGTTCAAATGAAATGTACGTTTCATCGCTGGCTTTCCTGTCAAATAGCAAAAACTTGAAAATAATGTAGCAAGTATTTGCATTTATATGTTTGATCATTTGATTAGTTTAAGTTTATGAGAAAAATCTGCATTTAAATCTTTACCTTTATCCCAGATTAAGCTGGAAAAATGAGTGACTTCTTTCCCTTGACATGTCTGCAGAGAAAAGAAAACTATTAAAAGTAGCCCATCAAACTTGTCCTCCTGGGCCTGCTAACACTTGTCTTGGCTCCATTTAAGACAAAAAAAATAAATAAAAGAAGACTGAGAATGGCTCAGGATGAATGATCTGAAGACAAGGAGACAGGGACAAATCCTTTTTTAGCTTAAACTCAAATATTTTAGAGCTAAGATGCTTAAAATGTCTCGCTTGGTTGGGTTGGACAGTTCCAGAGGAGTAGGTATCACTTTCACAAAGTCCCCTCTCGGCTGACAGGCTGTAGCTTTTACGCTGACGTATCTCCTCCAAGTTATGACAGAGAAGCTAAAGGGGATTTCTGGTCTCCAAAATAAAGCTCAGATAGTCCAAACAGGAAATTTGAATATTATTAGATTTATGAGATTGTGTGGATTAGCTTAAAGTCTTTATGCCAAACTAAAACAGTTAACTGACCTGTGAAATGAACGTCTTTTCACACACCACGACGTCTACCCACACCTGCTCTTCAGCTCACTTTAATACGCTTTTCTGTGCCCAGAAACACCTGAAGTTAGACCAGGTCTGGCTGAACCGGAGGAGCCAAGGATCAACCCTCACACAGGCAAAGTTAAAGTCCCATAGGTGTCACACACACTGGTGTGCGCTGAAAATTGTCCTTCGCATTTGACCCATCCCTGTGGGGAGTGGTGAGCTGCAGACAGGGCCGCGCTCGGGAACTATTTGGTGCTTTTATCTGAGCGGATTCAGGAACGCCTCCTCGTTTCCTTCTTTGGGAGATTTACCAGACACGTTCCTAGCATACACAGAACTCTCTGACCTAGGAACACCCCGAGGAGAAGCAGGAGAGTGTCCCAGGGTAACTGGAGGCCTGGATTTCCCTGCTGATCCTGTTACCTGCACAGCCTGACCTCAAGTCAGAAGATTTAGAGAGAAAAGAGGAAAACAGACGCAAATAAAAAGGGACATATGACTTTTTTTCTAAAGTTATAGTTATAGTTTCATTACTGATTAGAAGCATATCTATGACTTTTTTAACATAAAATCTCTCTCACATAATGGGAATTTCAGCAGCTTTATCATTTATATTTTCAGTACCTTCCAGAATGAGCCATTTCAGGGCTCTGTTGCTTTAAGAAAACAAGCTGGAGCTGGCCACGCCCACCCATCCCCCACTCAAGCTGCTATAAACAGAGAAGCTCCAGTATCTGGGAGGAGCTCAGAGTAGAGCAGCTGCTCTCTCTTGCGCATGAATGGTGGCTCTGTTCTACTTTCCCTGTTTGTGATGTCACAGCTTTTGGGGAAAGTTTGTTTTAAGCACATAATTATTAAACCCAAACACTGACAGAAAACAAAGAGCAGTTTTCTTTTCACGCTAAGAGTGTTTATAGAGGCAGTAGAGACCCACACAGCAGCACAAAAGAAGCAAAAGGTGAGTTTCCCCTTTGAAAAGCCATTAGAGTGTAAAGTGACATTTTACATTAATAGAAAGAGATAAACTGAATTAAAGCTCAAATCAACTGAAACTGATGAATATTTTGATCCATGGACAACATCGCAGTCTGAACAAAGTCAGACAGAAGAAAGAAGTGAAACCTGGGCAACAATTTTCCCAACCTTGCAAAACCAGGATGTTTTGTGCTCAGATATGGTAAATGGTAATGGTAAATGGCCTGTATTTGATAGAGCGCCTTCTAGAGTCCTGGAACCCCCCAAGGCGCTTTACAACACAATCAGTCATTCACCCATTCACACACTGGTGGGGATGAGCTACGATGTAGCCACAGCTGCCCTGGGGCGCCCTGACAGAGGCGAGGCTGCCGAGCACTGGCGCCACCGGTTTTTAATTAAATTAAAAGCACTAAAATTCTATGATCTGGTGGACTACAATATTTTAAAATTTATGTATAATGCAAACAAAAGGAACGTACCTGCAGGATTAATTAAACGATTTTCAAAAAGACATAGCAAATATGATTTAAAGGGACATGAATTATTTAACATTCCTAGACATCGGATACTCGTAAAGGAACATTGTGTCTCCATATATGGAGTTAAATTGTGGAATAAATTGAATACTGAACTCAAGAATGCAAAAACAATATTGACTTTCAAAAAAGAGATAAAAAATAAAATGATTAACTTATATAGATCCGTTACATAAATGTGTGAGGGGAGGGGGGTGGGGGGGGATGAAAGGAACAAAATATTAACCTAGTAGGTGCTTGTATGTGTATATATGTATGTATATAGATCTGTAACTTAATGCTTCTTTCTGTGTAAATTGTTTTCTTTTTCTATTTTTTTCTCAAATTCATGGGTTGAGATTTTGTCGGCCAACAGGTCCAGGAACTATATTGTTCAATTTCCTTAAGAATCATATGATTATTTCATTTGTATTAATGCTATTTTAGTTCAAAAGGGGCAGACAACATAAGTTTTTCTTCTTTCTGTCCCCTTTTTCATTTTGGCTTGCAGCAATTTAGTTCTGATTGTATTTTTATTTTAATGTCAATAAATGAAAAAAAAAGATAAAAAAAAATGTAGCCACAGCTGCCCTGGGGCACACTGACAGAGGCGAGGCTGCCGAGCACTGGCGCCACCGGTCCCTCCGACCACCACCAGCAGGCAACGTGGGTTAAGTGTCTTGCCCAAGGACACAACGACAGGGACAGACTGAGCGGGGCTCGAACCTGCAACCTTCCGATTACGAGGCAAGCACTTAACTCCTGTGCCACCATCGCCCCAAATATTGCAAACTTAACTGTAAAACTTGGTTACGGTCATCAGTGTAATTATTTAGAATGCTTTGCATAATCATAAATGGAGATTATTGTTTCATTATGATTTTCCTGTTTTTCTTCAAAATAATGACGACACTTGGTGCACTTGTTTAATTTTCTGATGCTGCAATCCTTTCTCTGCTCCAGAAAAAAAGACACTTGGATGCAGACTTTCACCTCTGTAGATGTTTTGAAGATTGTGGTCTGCAGCATAAGGGCTCACTATCCTCCACAACAGCTTCTCCTTTAAGATAATTGTACCGTGAATTAAATCGGAGAAGTTTTCGAAAGTTCCCTCCTCTTTAAACTTTCCGCTGAGCTCTTTTTTCTTTCTGAGATGACAAAAAGCAGCCTGAAATTTCACTTAATTCATCATCTTGAACAAATTCTCTGAAGTGTAATAAGGTAATGAGCTGATGATGTTTGCAAGGCGACGACAGATGTTGCAAATCTCAACACGGCTGGATGTCTTACAATCAGCGCGGATGAAAGCAGGTTATCCTTGACTTCTCACAACACATCACGTTGCCAAGGAGACGCTCCTAGACCTCTGACCAAACCCATAATTAGCTTTAATATGGATGCACACAATTCAAATATGGTTACATCAACACTGACATTGAGCAACTAGTTTTATTTTTTTTTTACATTTAAATGTTTCTAAGCTGTTCTGAAGAATAACATCGTCACATGTGGGCTGCGCCACACATCATCATCATTACAGCGGCTGTCAACACTGCTGGGCGTGAGTCATGATCTTACTTGTAACTGTTACCACAAAACGTTCTTCGGCCACAAGCTGGTTAGGCTTTCTATTGGCCTTGTAGGCTGCAGAAGGGGTTCTTCACTAGATGTTTACACTAGATTTCACACAAATCACACATTTGGCGCTGCAAACTATTCAATCAGTAGTTTAAAATACACAGCACAAATAATGGATTCAGTCACTAATTGTAATTCCCAGTTGTCCAAACTGTTAAAAATAAGATTTTTAAGTAGAAAAATTGTGTTTCATGTTATTCCAACAATCAATAGCAAGTTTTAGCATTTCCACGTTTTGTGTTATGATTCCTCCTTGGATGAGGATGCATTTGCTATGTGGTTCAAAACCAACACATTCTCACTCCCAGCCCGTCAAAAACAAATGCTTGGTCAGCCACCCTCCACGTCAGACCCCTGACGCCAAAAGTGCCCTTTTTCGTTACTCATGCGCGAAAAAGGGTTTTTCCCTTACGTGACTGCAGATCCCAATGCAGCGTTACACTGACGCGATGGGATGTCTGCAGCCAGGGCACCAAACAAGCTCAGTGTACCTCACCTTAACCTTATCCTCTTATTTAACCTTCCCCTCACCCCTATCCTAACCTTAACCATCTTGCTAGCGAACACGATAGTGATGTGTCGATCGCTCTAAAAGCCGGCTCTATGAAGTGAACGGCGGGAGGCGCCTCGTCATTGGTCGAGTTTGGACCGAGCCAACGCAAGGGGGAGGTTTCAACTACCACGGTGGAGGTTAAAAGAAGAGGGTATGTGTAACCTCCCCCTCGCCAGATGGTATGCTCTAACGTTCCCCTTGGGTGGCAAATACGAAAATTGACAGTCAGACTCTGACTGTCAGAGTCAGAATGCATGGGAAACAAACGCTCGATCACAGTGAGAGTAACGTTTTAGGTAGCAAGAGGGTTAAGGTTAGGATGAGGGAGAGGGGAAGGTTATTAATAGTGAAACGTTAAGGTTTAGGTGCGGTTAAACGAGCTGGTTCGGTGCCGCATCAGCGGATATCTAATCATGTCAGTTTTACGCTGCATTGGGATCTGCAGTTACAAAAGGGAAAAACCCCTTTTCGCACATAAGTAACAAAAAAGGGCACTTTTGGCGTCTGGGGTCTGACGTGGAGGGTGGCTGACCAAGCGTTTGTTTCCGACGCTTAGGGTGTGAGAATGTGTTGTCAAAACCCAATTTAGCATCATCGTACTGGAATGACTAGAAACCATCAGGAAAACATTTTACTAGAAGCAGGGAAGGTTCTGGACCAACACTAGAGGGGGCTCGTTGGTTTGGTGGCCAGTTTGTAACAAATAATTTCCACCCGCATCTGTTTCCAACTTTAGATAAATTAATTCACGTGCTTTGGGTCCACATCCTACCGGGCCTTTCTGTCGGACACGTAAGCATTACGCAAAGTCTGTGAAGCATATCACGCAACATTCGTTTATAGGGTGGGGACGTTTCCACTGACTAAGTGTTTAGGACGTGTCCCAGAAGCTTAGAGACACGTCTGTCAAATTTACACTTTGAGTCTATTTTTATGCGTTTCACTTCCAGATTGCATCAAGCTCAGCAGCTCAAATCAAGCCAGACAGGAAGTTATACACTAAAGCGGTGTAAAACATTCAGAAAGTTTCAAAATAAAAGTCACGTACAGATTTTCAGTTACTTAAATGGTAAAAAAAATAGACATTATTTCCTCCACTGCCGTGTTTTGCATGTTTTTTTTTTCACAAGGCACTCGCGGAGTACAGACGCTTCTCTCTTTCGCATAGGCGTCATTTTAACCGGGGACACCGGGGACATGTCCCCGGCAAAATTTGTGATTGGCAGCTGTGTCCCCCCCACTTTCAAAAAAGCCTGTCTTTATTGTCCCCAGCAATTTTTAAACCCCACTCAAGTGTATGGTTATTGTCCCCAGCAATTCTGAAAATAAACTGACGCCCTTGCTCTTTCGCTCCCTTATCTTTTTTCCCAAGGCTCTTTGTCCTGTCTGCCCACAGAGCGCTTCTCTGCATTTCTTCTGAAAA